AAAAATCCGCGGCGTTCGTGGGTACATCCGTATTCCACACAGCAACTTCTTTCATTAGTTTTACATCACATGCCTAAAGAACAGCATAATAGAAGTGGTCGCCATGCATTTGGAGATGACCAGCTTACGACTTATTTCATGGTGGAATGAAACCATCAACATCGATTATATTTTGCGCTCGCAGCTCCATGAATGACGGTAGAACCGGTTGTTTGCCTTGGATTTATTTTGACGATACCTGACTACTAATACACAATTCAATAACTACAGCAAAAGAGCAATTTGCACAATCTAGCTGCCGCGGTAGTCAGGTGGATAGAAGAGCGCTTCACGTCTATTACCAAGGATTAAGGCAAGACAGGCTTTACGCACTGTTGTGGGAGCATTTTCAGCAATATACACCAAAATTGTGGATATCATACAACATAATTTCTGAAGAAAAGAAAAATAAGAAGGAAACCGGTAGTCCATCTTTACTCATGTAACCGGCCTCGCAACGGACGCGTCACTGGCTTTTAGTCGACTAAGAGGGATAGATAGCGTGAGATGGTTGCGATTAGACAAGGTATGAGAAAACAAAGCTTTATCTTCGGATCGCGTGGAGGATATAGTTGCAGTACTGAATGAAGCAGTGTGTAGGTGTCGACGGTGGTCATTTCGAAACTTGGATGACCACTTGAGTTTTGTGTCAAATTATTTGCTAAGGAGGAAATCAGTAATAGCTGCTCTGATTAATATAAAGCCCGAAAAATATATGTAACTATAATCCTTACAGTGTTGGTCGTCTATGTTCTATAAACTGGTCACCATTTAAACACACATTTGTTATGCGATGTTTGCCATATATTCACTTGTGCCCTAGACCTGTTTCATTAGAACGCATTTGGCACAACACTTAAGTGTAACGTGAATGCAATGTGTTTAATATGCGACCAGGGAACCTTTGAATTGATCGCACCTCCCACTTTGATGGTTGTCTTGAATAAGTTGTACCCATAACATAATTACAGGGTTCCAAGTAAACCCGAACTGTGACATTGTTATGTTGTTGGTCCCAAGTTGGCGAAATTCATTGTCTAAATAAAATGTGTTTCTGTTTGCAGGAGGAACCAATCCGTGGCTTTCACCTGAAGGACCACATATCCTACATCAATGCCCTTCACGACAAATACGGCCAAGGTTTGGAACCGTTACTAGCCAACTTGAATCCCTTTGGTCTGTGATTTACCACGTGTATGTATATACCAGTGTACATACTCATTCGATGACTTTCTTACATTTGAATTAGAGTGAATTCTTCACTTTTGGTCAGTTCAGTATTGCTAATCAATCGCAGTTGTCTCATGTGGATCGTCAATCTAAAGTTTGACTGACCACAGTTATTAAACACATCTCTACAATATCCTGCGCAGCCGTGATGCGCCAAACACGAAAAATAAAGTGATTTTCGGTCAGTTGAATCTTTTATTTTTAAACTCGTTGGATGGCAATCAAACAGTTCATTCCCCTTAGTGCTATGATGAACAGCTGCGTTTTTTACGCTGTCGGCACTGAGATATTTGCTGAGTGTGGAAAAAGGTATCTCAAGGAACATATATTTTACCCTGTTCTACTCCTAGGAATGACCGAAATGCTTTTGCAGACATCATCACTTTCACTAAGGAGACGCCGTCGTGTATCGAGATTCGCCTACTACAGCTGAAAATAAATAACTGCCTAAGATATTCTAATCTGGGGTGTTGTACAAAATAAATGCTGTTAAATGTACACAGCTGTGGAGGACGTACTGGCTATAGAGTAGTCAGCTTGTAAATGGGAACTGCCCACCTATGTTCTTCACAGAACGATGGCATAAACTGCTGGTTGAAAGTGCAAGCCACTGCACTGATAGAACCGATGCGTGCGCCGTATTGACGATTAAGTATAGTACGAAATGGTCGTCTTAAGCTTTTCCGAGCACGTGTAAATCTGTGTTATTTGGAAAGTGCAATGACAAAGTCTCTGGTAATCACATCAAACATCCACTACTGATGAACACATGCAAAATGTTGTGAAACTAGCAAAGTGTGTTGTTGAACAGCGAGCTCGGGAGTACGTAATGAAAAGTTACTATTGGCCCTTGTTAAAGAGGCTAGTAGTTTCGTCTACCACCGCCATAATATGTCTGAAATTTTATCCATCCCGCCGGGTAAATAAACAAGCAAAACGTTCGTACTTTTTGGCCATAATTGTCGTAATTATCGCAATAGTATCCAGGAGAAAAATGTATGACCTCATCAAGCAAATGGCACTAGATATTTTGCATAATCTCATAAGAGAAAGCACTCCTCGGATATAATGTCGAGGGATGAAGGATGGACGATCATAACGAGTACCCCACGGATTCCGCATGTAATACCTACCACGAAAAGCTGTTTCATTTCATGAATGTTCGCTTGATGACCTTGCAACATAGCAGACGGAAACCTAAGATGGGAAGCATTTTGTTTTTCCTTATATCAATAGTAAATTTCTCGATGGAATCCTTAGATTCCGAGCGCGTTTATCACTGGTCATTTCAGCTCATTTCGATGTTATAACAGTGCGATTCCCCTTTGCATAGGCTGGCTATTGGTTAACATGTTTTTCAATATTACCATCGAAAATTTGTCACCCAGCCCCTAGGTAAATATGACGAGTTATCTTGATGTATGAGTCAAGCATACTGCTATCTGTTGATATATATATTATTAAAACAGACGTAAATCCGAACATTCGTAGTAACGTATTCTACATGGCATGCTTGACATGCTGGTCTAATCCATAATTGATCGGCTGTGGATCTTTCACTCGACATCAGCTTGTATTCGGAGTGGTATATCTTCCCTTGGTGGTTAATAAATTTAATATTTACTACATGTAATATATTTATTATATTTATTATATATTTATATATACAGTAATATATTTAATGGCTGATATCAGTCAGTTTTAACATTTTCTGTGGTATTGTCGGAGAGCTTTATATTTGATAAAAAGTGAGTAAGTCAATTTAGAAACAATCTGTCACGTACATCTGAAAAGTACCCTCCTAAACACCTTTCCTAATTTCTAAAACATGCACAGATAAACGTTCTTTCATCGCTCGCCAAAATGACTTTGTGGCAAGAAAAGGACTTCCGTTGCATAATGATGGGACGCCAGATACTGTAGGTAACAATTTTGTAACGTACGAACCCGAAACTATAAACGAAACTAAACGATGCCTAAGGATACATCAATGATTTCCGTGACGCGAACGAATTCCACAGTGCCCCTAAGTACACCCATGAGATCTCTCGTGCAATCTATGCAAACTAGTACAGCTTAGCAGCTTTGCTGGACGAACACGTCTAGCATACCAAGTTTACACCCTGGAGAGAAACTAGCCCTGACATCATTGAGAATTGCTAGTCTTTAGCACCCCTAAATGAACCGGTTGATTGGTGAAACAATAGCAATGTTTAAAACAGATTTGACTGTTGTATTTATGCGCAAATAAATCAATCATTCGCAGGACAGACAGAATATACTTTGCCTCGAACCGTCAGATTAGTTCGCAAACTTTCAAAGCAATTTACAATACTACTGTTATCAGAATATGATGCACTGCGGCGCAAGTTCGTCTTATACTTATCGGTTTTGGCACATTCCTTGACCACCAAATGGGACATTTTACTCGCCATTTACTGCGTCACAACCGCATGTACATATAACGTTCTCGCGGTAACTGTAAGTACTGAACAAGTAGGAGTGATTAATTACTTTTGTCCTGTAACATCTAACCCTGCGTTTATTGCAACATGGAACATGAATCTTTTAGAACCGACTCTAGGAAGTAGCCAAATTTTGAACCAATCGACAAAGAGGGTCAGCGACGGACGCACAGGAATTCATAATGCGTGACTGCGTGTGATCACTTGGAATATGTATGGTACTGATCAGAAAGTCATCATTTGCCTGAAGAAGTTTTTGAGTCACAAGCGAAACGTTGTGCGTGTTTGCGTATTCCTACGATTTGGATGCACTCGCTCGATAAAGTGTCGTAAATAATTTGAATTAGCACTGAAATTGTAAGCCGCGCCGCTGCTAAATCGTGTCTGCTATAAATTTTTTAACTATTTACTGGATGCATAACAAGTGAGTCGGAGCCTTTGGATGCGGCTGCAAACGTTTTGGATGAGCCAACTCGTTGTTTTTACAGACTAGTGGAAATAAGCGACTTGTGCTACCACACGACTCATCTGAAGCGGCAGGATAACTTTGTATATTAATCGCGTTGTAACGTGAGACTTATTAGAAACTTGGAGAACTCAGATATCTGATCATAGTTGGTGCCATCAAAACTGCAAGACAATGAAGTATGCTTGTACTCACCCTTGTCTACAAGCGAGACTGATTTTAAATTGGCATGTTCTTTGAAACTGGTGAGCAAAACATGTGCAGCACACTCCTGTCCGGCAGTTTTAACCTACGAATCTTGTAGCTGACCTGTAAGAACTGGTGTATTGTTTTACCAATAATTTTGAGTTATTTTATTGTCAGATGTAGAAGAAAAAGCAAGTCGCTCAACCTGAATCTGATGTACACTGGCTGAAAGAATATCTTCAGAAAAGCACTCAGAAAACGCTACTACTTGGAAGATTAGGATGCTTATGTAATTTTTCATAACCGGAGAGACATCAGATATTTGCCGAGAAAATTCATCCGCAATTTAACATCGTATTTGCTGGCGAATGGGACCATAAAATTGCGCAACGTGTTTCTATTGGTGCATATAATTAATGTCATATGTACGTTACAAGTTTCATCACAGTCTGGTTGTTAAAAACGATTAATCCGTCTAATGTACTCGTTTGACTTACACCACATTAACAAGGTTTCCTTTGACCGCGATCATGCAAAACTAACTTACTAATCGCACGCAGTAGTTGGACCAAGCCAGCTGACGCTGGAGAAGGAGTTAATGTCATCTACCTGGGTTTCTCACAGGCTTTCGATCGTGTGGACCATCGGATAATACTTTATACACTACAGTAGTGCGGGATCAGCTACCTAGTTCTAAACTAGTGTGCCAATTATCTACTACAACGGCAATTAGTGGTCAAGTTTGGAGTTCTTTATCGGACCTCAACCAATTCGAGTAGGGTGCGCCGTAAGGCTCATTTCTAGGTTTCGTCTGCTTTGGTGCTTATGAATGACCTCGGATAGGCGTTCGCTTTAAATTACATAATGTTGCAGACGATATGAAGGTTTAGCGCAGGATTCAAGTGAATGCCTACCAGCATCTGCTTCCGAGTGATCTAGACACAGTACTTCAATGGTCAACCCAACATTTACTGCATTTCAACGTGTGTAAAGGTAAGGTACTTTCTATCCGACATTAGAGCAGCGACTCATACTGACTCGGAACAACTATAATGCAACAATGTAAACGACAAACTGCTTTAAGATGACAGGTTGCTCCAGGCAATCCCAATAGGCATCGAAGAATGGAAAACCCACACGTCCGAGCGGTTGCGACTAGCGTTCGGACGGAGAGACAGCTCTAAGCTTCGACAAATGCTCAGTGCCAATGTTCGCCCCCATCTCGAATACGCAATCACGCCTGGCATACACGGCTAAAACAGCACCTTAACGCACTGGAGCAGCCTCAACGTCGGGCATTTAAAATCGTAATTTGGATGCGCAATCTTCCTACGAGGGTAGGCGGAAACAATTGGGGGTATTTAGTAGACGCCATCGCAGAGTACGAGGCGACCTGATTATGGCATACTTGATTTTGCACGACCCACATCATATGTGCCCCGCCTTACTGCAGCTCAGCAGCAACACAAATCTGAGGACTCATTCATTGAAAGTCGCAGAACAGCATCGCCGTCTGCGGTTCTGCAGGAATTACTTTTCCATTCGTGTCTGTCGCCTGTGGAATGTCCTCCCAGGATCGGTCGTCTCTGCACCGACATTACTAAGAAGGTTGGATGACCCACCCATCCACTTACATCTTGTTACTTTGTGCTACTACAGAAGTGTACATCGGATTTCTGTGATTTTAACGGTGGATGCTGTGAATATTCGCGGATTGCTGAACTACAGCAGAGGAAACGGTAAGTCTTTCTTTTCATTTTTATACAACTTCACTTTAATAGTATAAATGTTATTTGGATTTACAACAAACCATCCAACGGAATTTTTAAAGTAACGCTTCTTAACTCGTATACATCCACTGTTCATTTTTCAAGAATAACTAGACAAGCAACCATAATAAGTCAAGCATTTACTGTACCTCACACGCTATTGTGTTGTCGTCTAAGGTCTTCACAAAGCGATAAGGAGATTGTAATCACTTTAAACAGTAGATGGACCAACACTGATTGTCCTGTACAGGGTAAACAGTACATTATAATCTCAAGCTTGCGATACGCACTCTGGT